CCCCCCCCCCCCCCCCCCCCACACACAGTGGAAATGCATGCATTGTTGTGTGCTCACCTCTTCCTTGCTGTCCTGGTCACGGAGAAGCGCTGCATGTGCATCAAGCTGAGCTGAGAGACACGCATGCAGAGCAATTGCCGCCACCTCCCCCACTGTATCCCTCCTCTCCTCTTCTCAGTGGCTTACGTGTTCGTTGACTTATGGAGGCCGGGAATGACGAAGACAGTGCGTGTCTCTTCATTTCCACCGACGTCGGGATATAAAATGTAGCCAGCGATTTGACACTGCTGATGTCGGCGTCAAGCAGCGGGCGTCGGATCACGCCGCGGTCAACATTGATGAGATCATACCCACACACACAGAGAGACAGACAGACAGACAGACAGGGCGAGATGGTCTTTCTTTATGTGGGCTCTAAGTCTCTAAGTGTGTGTGTGTTTGGGGTGAGAGAGTGCTCACATTAATTAGGTCGGAAGAGCAGTACATATGGCCCCCCAGCAGCGGCCGCATGAGCTCCGTGAGGGACCCGACGCATCTTGCCGCCATAGTGAGTGCACCTTAACCACAACAGTTAGTCGACACACCACCGCCACCAGAACCATTCGCTCTCACAAGACACCAAAGGAGGCAGCTGCTCTGCCACATGGTCATATGTGCTGGTCTTGTGCTGCTGCTGCCGGTGGTAGTGGCGGTTGGGGAGGCGGATAGCCATCTACACACACGGGTGTGTGGGGCAGTGGGTGCGGCTGCTGGTGGGGCCGAGGGCTCCGCATAAGCGGCATGGGTGGCTTGGCCTGTTCGGTTTGTATGCCCACTAAGCTTGCTTACCTTGAGTAGGTGGAGTGTGAGGACACTCTGCCGTCTGGTGCGCACTCGACCGCCACCCCTGCAGACGCCCCATCATGTGGAGACGCTGCTTCTCGTGATAACGCTGCTCGCAAAGTGGATGATCAGATCATACCCACACACACACAGACAGACACAAGCGCATGGATCCATGGCATGGATCAACCTGACACAACCTGCCTTTCGTATGTATTGTGGTGGGCTGCGCTCTGTGTGTGCGCCTACGTACCTGTGGCCTGTCGCCATTGTAAGAATCACTCCCACTTGGCCTGACCAACCGCACACGTACACACATCCGACCGTCACATCACATGAACACCATAAGAGACTTCTCGCTCGTCAGTCAGTGTATACGTACCTCCCCGTGAGCCGCCTCCCACGCCCTGACCTCCTCCCGCAGCTCCTCCGCCAGCTGCCTGGCCTGCTCGGTCTCCCGTCTGGCCGCTGCTGCCCCTCCCGTCTGGCCGTCTCTCTTAGGCTTCTTACGGGGCTTCTTCTTCTTAGACTGAGGTGGTCCCGCCTTGCCACTTGCTGCTGCCGCCGCCGCAGATGACGACGACGCAGGGCATCCAGTGTGAGATCTTCCCATTCTGCCGCACAACACAACGCCGGATTGGTTAAATCGGTCAAATCTGGCGATTCTGGCCGTTTTCCCTGTTCTTTCTCGTCGAACCAAGAAGCTGCATTTCTGAAAAGCAAAGCATTCTGCCAGCAGACAGGGAATCCGACGTGCACGTGAATACCAGACTGAGTGAGGCACTCACTGACCTTCCAGAAATGTGCGAGAAAAGGAGACGGGATGAAAAGAAGATTTCACCACTTCGTCTGCACACACAGAAATTGCAAGGAGAGGCATATCAGCACACCAATGGCAAGAAAGTGCGCCATGCCTTCAACCCAACACATCATCCAGACACCACACCAGCACCACACTGAAGAGACACCGGTTGGGCGGTCTATGCGAGAAGAAGGTGCGTGCTCACTCGGCAGGCGCCGGGCAGTCACCAGGCGTTCCACAGAAGGCAGGGCACCACCAAACGAGGCCTCGCCCAGGGCACGGCGGTGGAGGAAAAAAGTGGCGGGTGACATCGGGACGAGTTGGGAGGGGTAGAGGGAGATGAGGCGGACACCACAAGCCAACGAGGATCCGTGGCCGAAACAAGGCAGAAGAGCCAACATGGAGAAGAATGTGGAAAAATCTGCAGAGGTTCCGCTGAAAATTTTTTGGGGGCGTCTCCGTCTCATCGCGCGAAAATCTCGCCGGTCGAGATTTCCGTCCAGTACCGTCCAAGGCGCTGATACGCGCTGGAAGACAGACACAGGCTGAAAGGCACAGTGAAGGACGAACAAGCATGAGAGTCCAGCATGCTCTGCAGAGGCCATATGCGCGTCGTGTGCGTGTGTACGTCTCTCGCTCGCGAGGGAATGGAGGCAGCTCTCAGCGTGAAGAGCGGGAATCCATCAGCCACCCACCGTATCGCCGTGCACCGTGACCGACACGCCCGACTCCTCCGCACACAAACGTGACGGTATCGATGGCTGCAGAATGGGACACTGACACCCCTGGCTGTTGCTCCTGCTGGGGTGGAAGATACAGAGTGATTAGTCCTCACCGGCGCACTGCCGTCATGCAGTAGCTGGCAGCCATTCGATAAGAAGAGAAGATGATACTCGTCGACGGCCCCCGTCTCCGTGGGCTTTTGAAAAATCGGCACCGGCATCTCTCAGACTGCCGTCCTCTGGCTCGTCTCCCTGGCGAAAGCATACGGCGGCGACAGCCAGGATGTGCGCCAGGAGCACATCAATGCAAATACTCCCCTTGTCCACCTATTAGAGTGGACAAGCACGCGGGTCAACGTCTGCAGTGCGGAGTCAGCAGTGCGCCGCCTTCGTCCTCTCTCCTGCCGTCTGCATGCGATACACTTCCTTGCATGCATGGGCCTTGGTGGTTTGCTCTCTCCTCCAGTGTTCGTGTTTGTCATCTCATTGGCATCGCATCGAATGCAATGCAAACTATTCACACGATAGGCTGCACTCGTCCAGGCCACGGTCTGTACAAGGATCACATCAACACGCAGCTAACCTACGCATCACGAGCATCGATGGATGGATCGATGGATTCACCCTCTTCCCTCAAGCTAATGATCGATCATGTCGTGGTGCGGATGCCCGACATGATGGCCGTCACACTATCGGCATAGACGGCCTCCCCATTGCAGCCGGACACTTGAGCACCGCATCGCGTGCAATGGCGGGCGGCACCAGCTTGCCTAGCTTCTCCAGCCGCTCCTTCTCTATCTTGGCCGCCTCGTGACGCTTCGACAGCACCTCCCAACAGGCATGACACAAGCTCTGCTGCTTGCTGCATGCCGGAGAGTAACGGGGCATGGTGGGTGTGTGCGTGTCTGTTGCGGCGTGAGAGGGCAAGTGTGTAGCTGCCTGCGTACCAGGGAAAAAAGACGACCGATGGCGGCTCCGAGATGCACATGACGCAGGTACCCTTTGCCGGAGCGGAGAGGGGTGGTGCTGCACCACTGCCGGCCTCCAGCCGTGCCTGCGTGACGCTGGCCTCCTTGGTCAGTGATCTGATGTCCGCCTTGGCTCGTTTGATGTCCTGGAGGAATGCGTCGATGGCCGCTGCCGTGTCCAGAGAAGTGAGGCGCGCAGCCGTCAACCTGACATAAGTGGATGGATGGAGGGATGGATAGATGGATGGATGGGCAACACACACAGCAGGCGAGCAGGTGGGGGTTGACGAGTGGAGCGTCTTAAGAGTGTACCTACCGTGAGAGTGCCTTCTGGTGCAGTTTGGCGTGTTCTTGTGTGAGCTGCTGAATGGTGGGCTGCAAGGACACACTCGCTGCCAACACGGCAGAGATGCCGTCACGAAGCCTGCTCACACACCACACACACGCACCACACACACAGAGGGGGAAGGGTGGGACTGATTGGCCCTTCATGGTGCACTGGCAGCCTGCCACTTACTCTGCGATGTCGCCTTTGCATCGCTGCACCATCTGCGTCAGCTCCCCCTCAGTCGCCAGCACGTCATCAGCCACCAGATGCGGTTCGCGAGAAACACCCGATGCACACGATGGCCTGACACAACCAGCATAACACGCATTCAGCAGTGAGTACTTTGAGCACGGCGCTCCTTCCTCCCCTCACCCAGCTGCAGGCGATGGCTTGGGAGTCGGTGGTCCGCCTCGCATGAGCATCTTCTTCTCCATTGCACGCTCAAAAAGATCGTCGAGTCGGTGCTCCTCAGCAGTGAGCCGCTCGTCGAAGGCACGCACCTCACCAGCCGTCGTCAGGGATAGCAAGGGATCTCGGTCCAAACTGGATGCACACACACACACGTAACGCCGGCCTGGTTTTGTCTCCGCCTGTGCTTTTGCCCCTTTACTTGTTGGTGATGCTTTCCTTGAGCCTGCGTATATCCTCACGTTGGTGATGGTTTCCTTGAGCCTGCGTATATCCTCACGCAGCGCTTTCTCGCGGTCTAGAGCCTCACAGTGTGAGCCGAGGACAGACGCATACCGACGCTCCAACCTGACAACGAACACAGACCGACACCGACATGCATACGTGTCTGTGTCTGTCTGTCTGTCTATCTGTCCGGGTGTGTGTCTGTGTGGGTTTGCTCACCTCTCCTTCTCCGCAGCTGCCTGTCCAAGCTCATCCTTGAGCCCTGTGAGCCGTGTGTTGGGTCTGATGTGTTGGGGTGGCTGTGGTCGTCTAAGAGCGGCCTGGTCATCGATGGACACAGACGACTGAGACGATGATGAAGGCCGAGTGCTTGAGGAAGTCGACAACCTGACAGAGACGCACTCACAGGCAGAGAGGCAGTGTGTGCATACGACGGCGATGGAATATGGTTGCTGGGCTACTGGTCTCACCCATGCAGACGTCTGATGGATCCTATTGGCTTCGGGGGCATGGCCGTACCTCCCCTGTCGTGACAGACACACACACATCCCAACACTGTCGCGTCTGCCATTCTTGTACAGTGCTCGTCTGTTGTCGCTCACAATGGGCCGTCTCGTGGTGTGTCATCTTGCTGCTGCTGGTTGGGCTTGCCCTTGCCCTTCCTCTTGCGAGTAGTGACTACGATGAAGCCATCATGCCCATCAGCCGCCGCCTCGGGGGCGCTCGCAGAAACACGAGTAACAGTCCTGTGACACACACAGACACACGATCCACCTTGTTCCTCCGACCGTCCGTCTGTGAGTGCCGCTGTCGCTTACCCTGGCTACTGTGCATACGGGTCGACATGGTCGTAATGGCTATCGGCTATCGGTGCGGCATCCTCTCCGACAGCTCCCTCCTCGTCTACTGCCCCAGCTGCAGCGCTACCATCAACACACCTACCAGAGGGAATCGAGGCACGAGTCAGCCCACTGCCCCCCTCCCTTTGTTTGTGCAGTCAGTGTATGCCCCCACTTGTCAGATGAATCCGCATGAGTGGCCGCATTCGGTGCCCCCTTGCCCTTCTTGCCCTTGCCTCTGCCCTTGACCTGCTTTGACTTGTCCTTCTCTGCTGTCTCGTCGGCCGCTATCAGCTCGTCCAGGACGGCTGCCGCCCGCTCGTCCTCTTTCTTCTCAATGCGATCGAGCAACGTTAGCACACCAGGCAGCGTTGAGGCCTCGAGGTCGCGTGGATGTAAGCCGATGATGGAGCCGACCTCCTCTTGGCTCGGTGGGCACTTGTAGGCGTGTGGGGCGGCACCTGGCGGACTCGATGACCTGCATTGCATCCATACAAATCGGGCGGGATTCATCACTCACTGTACAGACAGACTGTCTGTGTCGTTACTGACTGTGAGGGTCCCTTGTTCTTGCCCTTCTTGGACTTGGGCCGCTTGCCGGTGTCCTGCTTGTCGGTCTGGTCGTCACGAGGAAGGGCACGCAGCTTCTTGATGGAAGGGGACTGCACACCACACAGAAGGGAAGGCGAATTGGTTATGCCGTGCTGCTTGTCGGCCTGTTACCTGTAGAATGCGTTGCGATATCTTGTTGTGCGGAGCGTTGGCCCCTACGCGATGCTCACCCTCCCTGATAGGAAGCGAGGGAGGGCGACTGCGTGTGTGTGGAATGTTTGAATGACGTGACTAGCGCACCTGATGAGGCCAAACTGCACCACCATGCCGCCAAAGAGTAACCTAACTCGGGCGTTTTGGCGATGCTGGTACAGCGCGTCACACAACATCTCCACCATACCCAGGCCCATAATCACCGGCAGGACAATCTATCAACACGAGCACACACGCGATGTTTGTATGTTATGTTCCAGAGCACTGTGTGGCCCCGCTCTGCCCCTCCACTAACCTTTGAGTGTCCATACACCAGGAGGCTATGCAGGCACACTATGGTGCCAGCGGCTCGTCCAGGGCTCTCCATCCATTTCGGGTTCCGCATCATCGCCGCGAGCATCTCAGGGAATCCAGCTCGAACCACCTCACAACCATGACCAGCACCTGCCGGCACACAGACCCACGAACGACACACACAGATGTTTCCCTCCCTCGCTCGCTCCCTCCCTCCCTCCCTCCCCATCCACCCCTTTCGTACAGATGAGAGCGTGTGGAAGGTCAAGCGATTCTGTCATGAGAGCCATGTCCCTGATGTCCGTAAGCGCCCTCTTGATTGAGTCGGCGACGGTCTTGAGCGCTCCAGGCTCCGCCAGCAGCCGCTCGCACGGGCCTCCAGGCAGCGACACAAACGCCAACACATCGGGGCTACGCTCTGGACGTAGAAAGAACACAGCACATAAACAAAACGAAGATAGGTGTAGCTAGGTATGAGTGTGCAGGCGCGTCCGGCCTGTGAGCTTACCCCATTTCGCACAGTCACGGCCAACCACACAGGGGACAATGAGAATCACACAGATGGACGCTCGCCACTGGAGGTTGTACGTTTCGCCATCGCCCGTGAGTATGTCCATGATGCGGTCTACGTGGCAGTCGTACACCTGCCTCAACAGCGAGAGAACGTCGGTCTCCACGCCACCCTCCACACCTGACAACGCAAGAGACACACCTCATGGAAGAAAGAAGAAGCATCGAAGCATCCACCCACCCACGCACTCACGCGTCTTTCGTCCGGTCTCTACCGCCTCGATGATCAGCTGGTGGAGCCATACGGCGCGCTTGAAGGCGGCAGAACCAATCGAGTCGCCAGTCAGCATTGCGTCGAAGGTCCATGAGAGCACAGGCGTCCAGAGGGTGGCGGGAGGCTGCTCTGGCGAGCTGTCGTCAAAGAGGGTGTCGAGAAATCTCTCTCCAAATGGGTCCTCGGTCTGCGGCGGGATCTCCTTGTGGCAATTGTAGAAATCAACCACAAATTTGGAAGCCGAAATCGTTGACCCGCCAATGTGGTCCAAGGATGGACGGGCCGTCCGCAGGCCCGCGAGCGAAGCTCTCACACACTGGTGCACGAGGCCACAGTGGTTGGTCAAGAGCGACTGGCGGGCACCAAGCCCCTCCATCAGTAGCCCTGTGATGATGCCAACGACTGCACTGGGCGCTGGGGCTGCGCCGTCGATGAGGAGGCTGGGTGGGACCATGGCCAGGAGGCTGTCAAGGGAACCGGCAGCAGCGAGCGCCTGCTCGGCGAGCCACTTGGGATCCATCGACTCCACGGACCACCACCGCCCATTCTCGTCCCTGGCTGGCATATTGTTCCGACACAACGTCACGAGGAGGCAGGCGGCTGGCGTCGCGAGCTCGGGTGAACGACAGAGTGCCTCGAGCAGCGTCCGGAACGCTCCCGGATGGGCCGACAGCAGACGCCGCATCTCGTTCCACTGGACAGTGCCGGGTGGGACGCCGCACTTGACGATATCTCTGATGCTGCTGTCCCTGACCTCCTCGCTGTCACTTGCCAGCCCTTGCACGACCACCCTGAACTGCTCAACGTCGAACGATGCGGCCGCCATGCTCAGCGTGCCTGAAATGCACAATGACGCCACGCATGTAGCCTGCCATGTGTTGTTCGCCCGGGGCCCTGCTTTTCCACATTCCTTTTTTCTCACACTGGCAGGGCAGATGCCGCCGCAGCTACTTGAAATGCATGTGCGTGAGGTAAAGGACCAGATCCACCGTCGCCATGCCAGCTAACAGTGGCCTCGGCCCGAGCGCTTGCGAGCTTGAAACCATCCCAGTTTGTTTTGCTCCGTCCGAACCTGCTGCTGAATCGCTGCCTGGATGTCAGCAATGAAGAAAAGAGAGGAGATCCATCTCTAGTATATTCTAGTGCGTTTCTTTCGCCGTGTTTCGTTTTTGGTTGCAGGAGTGAGTCATCTCGTCAGCGTGCTGTGAGTGCCTTCGGTCTGCACGTGCTGCCCTATGCCGTCGGCGCCGCCGCGTATGTATACTTCCGGGAGAGATCTCTTGTGGGCGATGAACAGTTAGCACAGCACTGCATCGTGGCATGGTCAGACGGTCGACCACCAAGGGCAAGGGCAGCTCAGGTGAGGAGTGCATAGTGTGCGTCGGTGTGTGTCTGCAGCCGTCGAGTGCACAGCTCATCAGAGGATAACGAGGTCAGCAATAGAAATGCATGATACACTCGACCGTCAGTCCGTCTAACTGTCTGTGTGTGTCTGTCTGCCTTTGTGCCCCATTGCAGAGAGTGTCATCGTTCCTCGACCGCTTCAAGGCCTTCGCGCTGGCCTCCAACGGCTTCTTTCGCTCATCCCTCTTCGCATCAGACAGGCAGCCCCTCACCCCTTCCCCCCGCCCCGCAGAAGCAGACACTACGACAGACAGCCAACCGGACACACAAGAGCACCAGCCGGCGTCCTCTCACCCTGTCGAATGGCTCTATATGGAGGAGTGGATGTCGCCTCGGGCGGCCAAAGCAGCCATCGAGAGCGACGCGTACAGGCAGCTGCAGGGTGAGGCCGCTAAAGGGGGGCTGCAGGGGCGGCCGGCGATATACCTGCCTGTGTTGGCGTGTCTGTCTGAGCGTGTGATGGGGGCGAGGAAGGTCAGGGAGGCGCGGGAGAGCATTTGGAAGGCATTATTTACTTAAGAGAGGAGGGTGGATGAGTTGGCACGGCTGAAGAGGTTGCTCTGTGTTAGTGATGTGACCATTGATAGTCAATGCTCATCCATCCATCCCTTGTCCAATAATCAATCAGCACCCACCCACAAAAAGCCCGAGGCGCACCGCACGCCATCTCACCATACACACTCCCACCCCACTCGCCCGTCCACTCCATCCCATCAGTCACATGCCATGCCCATCTAAACGTCCATCTACCCGAGGTGTGCCGGCAGATGTTTTCTACACTTTTTGAGATTCACGTTCTTGTCGTGTGGCGGATCACGGGGCCTATAAGGAGGACGTTCACACACAAAGAGCACAGCACAGCACAGAACACAACGCAACGCATGGATGATCCATTCCATGCATCTGCCCACCCACCAGATCAGTCAGTCCATTGCCATGCACATACGTACTGACTTACTTGAGTATTCTGGTAGGGCAGACCCATCTGAATCTGAACCAGTTCTGCCGGTGGGTGAACTCAAACCCACGCAGACGCTTCCGCTTCTGGCTGTCCTGCAGACAGACGTCGTGTTGCAACACATCACACCACACAACACACACACATACACGGATGGATAGATGGATGGATGAGCAGCGGTTCAGTCAGCAACTTGGATGAGTGCATCCATCGCATCTCTCACCCACTCACCCCATCTCGGTACGCCTTGCCGTATCGCCCACACATCCTGTTCTGCCAGCCAAACCTGATTGATACACACAACACGAAGCACCCATCCATCCCATGACAGGAATGACAGACACACACACAGACCAATGAATGCGCTTCCTCCCCTCCCGCATCGCATCCATCTCGCCCCGTTCGTGTGGCCGTCCATCAGCCAGCCCATCCATCCATCCACTGCACTGACCTGGTGAGTCTGAATCTGAGGTCGAATCGTGAGTGGGAGTGGGACTTCCACTGGCCCATCGCACCGTACCGCTTCTTGCGGTAGGCCTTGTGGATGCGGTGACGCAGCCGATGCAACACCCAATTGATGTTGAACCGAACCTGGTACGCACGACGCTGACCGACGCTTGACGCAAGGGGGGAGGGGGAGGAAGAGGGGCGGGGGGAGGGCGGCAGCCGACGCGAGAAGAGTGGAAGGCCGCCATGATGGAGCAGACTGGAGCACTGGTGCGATGGACTTGGACAGGGCGCAGGGCAGCGAGTTGGACGAAATGACACGCACGGGGAAGAGAAGAGTGAGGCCGTCGTCAGCGATAGGCGCCGGGCTCTTCTTGCTGACGCCAGATCACTGCAGAGCGCCGCTCCCGAGCTCCGATGAAGCAGATGCAGCATTGGGCTCACAACTCGCCGAGTTGCCATCTCTGAAACCAGGCCTGCTTCTCAAGATCATCACCTGCATCTGCGAGCTAAGCGAAGTGCGAGCTTCGACGAAGGAAACTAATGATGAGATTTGGTGAGCGGAGGGGCGAAAGATGCAGCGGATGAGCGTCCTGCTTGAATCCGTGTTGTGTTTGCGGCGTTTCTTGAAGCTTTCAGGTGCGTATGTGCGGTGAGAGTTGGATGAGGTGCATCTTGGGCAGCCCCATAGCAGCAGTTGAAGCCGCATGCGCGTCAACATCGCATGCATCCCTGACTAAGCCTTGTTATCGTTGAGAACGAACGCCTCGTCCATCGAGTTACCCCACTCACCCACCCATCAGCTGCAGTCCCTCTCCCCTCCCCCCTTCCCAGCCACCGGAGGGCCCTCCCTGTCCTGTTTGACCAGCAACCACCACCAGCACCCACTCAGTCACAATGGCGTCTGCCGAGGTGTCCCCCCTGACGGCCCCCGACTCGTTTGTCAAGACGATGCCGTCCATCGACCCATCGCTGCCGATGAACGACCTCATGGTGGCGTCGGTGGACCCCATCAACGGGTACATCCTGGAGAAGTTCGGCGGGACGGCCAAGGTGGTGTGTCAGATGTCCGACACCAAGGGCCGCATCATCGTCTCCAACTGCCACATCTCAAAGGGCGAGGTCATCTTCGTCGAAACCCCACTGCACGCCGTCCAGGAGGACAGGAACAACGAGGCCTACAAGCTCGTCCAGAAGCTGCAGCGCAAGGGCGAGTGGGACTTTGAGCCCCTCTGGTACTGGTGCGCACTCAAGTCGGCACTCCTCACCAACACCGCCGAGCAGCAGCAGCAGTCGTCACCCAAGAGCAAGACGGCCAAGGCACAGCCATCGGGGGCCAAGGGCGGCAAGGTCGGCAGTGGTGGTGGTGGTGCAGCAGCTGCGGCAACTGTGCCCAAGGCGGGCAAGGGTGCCACCGGTGGTGTGAACGGTGTGCCGTGGAGCACGACGCTGCTCAAGAGCCATATCACGCGCATTTTGCCGAAGATGCAGGAGCGGCTGCTGATGCTTTTCGCACCGGACAAGGTGGCCCCGTCTCGGGCCGTCAAGAAGCTCGTGACGGCCTTCGACCTGGCTGGCGAGGTCAACGAGGCCAAGCTCGAGAAACTACTGCAGGTCAGCAACACAACACAAGACAACACACCTGCACACCTGTGTATGTGTATATGCATCAGGTGTGGATCCACAACTGTTTCGAGCACGAGGACGATCCCGTGGGGTACGCCGTGTTCTTCCTGCCGTCGTTCCTCAGCCACGCGTGCGACCCCAACGCCGTGTGGCACTACGACGAGGCGTCGCGCTTCGTGCTGCGGGCGCGGCAGGACATCCGGCCGGGCGACGAGGTGTGCGTGTCGTACGTCAGCGAGGAGGGGCTGTTCGAGCCCTCACACCTGCGGCGGTTCATGCTGCACAAGACCAAGGGATTCATCTGTCTCTGCCCCCGATGCACCGCACCATACGACAAGTCGCGGGGCTTCGTCTGCCCGCGGTGCCGCAAGGGCACCGTGTTCCTCACGCCCAACGACTCCCTCATCAAGGACCTGCAGCAGGCATCCGCATTCATCGACCACCACCAGAAGCCCCAAGGCAAGGACGGCAAGGACGACAAGTCAGCCGCACCGCCACCGCCAGCAGCAGCAGCATCGGCGGCGGCCAGCTCGTCCGACCCACCCGCCCCCACACCACAATCACACACCACCTCCCCGTCGGCCATCCGCGCGTACGTGTGCACGTCTTGCGGTGCTCACATAGACAATTTGGCGAAGCATGCGATGCTCAAGCAGGAGCGGCACTGGGTGAGCCAGCTGCGGCGGATGAGCGGTGAGGAGGATGAGTTTCAGGACGACCACCGCGACCAGGAGATCCTGTGGCGTCAGAAGCACGGCAAGGCGGCCCCCCTGCCGCCACACATCACCGTCCCGCTGCTCAACCAGGAGAACATGAAGGAGCACCTCGAGGCCGCCGAGCGGGAGGAGCAGAAGGACCTCGACGAGGGGGAGCCCGAGGGCGACGACAAGTACGCCGGGCTGGTGACGCTGCCCATGGATCTGCAGGGGAGGATGGACAAGGAGGTCAAGGCCATCTTCACACAGCACTGGGCCGCCATGAAGTGGCACGGGCTCCTCCACGACTTCTCCGTCATGAAGCGCCACAAGGACTACGTCGCCGCCGTCGACCACATGCGCGCCCGCCTGGACCTGCAGTACAAGATGTTCGACGGCGACGCGGGCAGCGTCGGTTGGGCCCTGGAGGAGCTCTCCACCACCCTGCTGCGCAAGGGGGGGTATGGGGGCACGGGCAAGCCGTCGCGCAACACACGCTACGCCCGTCCGAGCGGCAACGAGCGCGAGGAATCGCTGCAGGTGCTGACGGAGGCCTACGCCATCATGTCGCGGCTGTTCGGTCAGGAGCACGAGTACACCGAGCGCATCACACAGAGGAGGGACATGGTCCAGGCTGCCGTCAGGTCAGTCACCACATGCACTGCACAGGGTGGGGGACGGGAAGCCATGCCATGTGTGGCTCTATGCCTCTCTCTCTCTCTCTCTGTGTGTGTGTGTGTGTGTGTGTGTGTGATGTCAGGAAATCAGCGTTGAGCGCGTCGCTATCGTTGGGTGCTGGGAAGGGGGGCAGCAGCGCCGCCGAGGCCACCAACCAGAAGAAACGACCCGCCGAGTGAACAACAACACAACACACCGCGGCGATGCATGAATGCATAAATGCCTGAGTGGATGGATGGATGGCGATCGGTCACAGAGCGACAGACACAGAGAGTGTATGGTGTGTATGATTTGCTGCATGCCTGCCTGCCTTCTTTTCTGGCTGCCTGGGGGGGTGGAGGGGTGGGGGGTGGGTAGATGAGATGGGTGTTGGTCTGCACAGCACAAAGCAAAGGGGTGGGGTACATGACATGAGTTGTGTGCAGTCACTCAGTGTGTGGGCTGGATTGATTCAATGACTAGGTCTGCCCTTCTTGTGCAGCTGGGTAAAAGTCAGTGCATTATATTGCGTTGCTTTTGCTTTCCTTTGGTTTAACTAACGATAGCGAATGGATGGATGTGAAGTGAATGAAGAAGTAAATAAATGGACTAACTGACTGATGAGACAGACCATTCATTATGCGGACTTACGGCTGACCTGACCACTCAAACGATTGGTTTCAACCATGTCTGGTCTGCTCACAACGAGCTCGACAAATAGAGGTTAGGTCAGCTAGCGACATCGGCACCACCAGGCGCTTACACACAAATAAGGCAGCCAGGCCAGGCCAGCGAGCGCCACAACAAAACAAATACTCTCACAGGTTGATTGAGCCATACACCACATACACCACATCTAAATATATGTCAATCAACCCTGGCCCTCTTTACAAGCGGCTCGTGAAGCTCCTCGTCCATGATTGAGCCCAGCAGGGCGACGTAAGGCCGTTTCTCGTTCTCCTGCGGTTCCTCGTACTCATGCACCGCAATAGCCGCCAACCGACCCCGGTCACCCAGGCACGCAACGCGCCGGAGGAAGGCCGGGATGTCTCGCCTGTGGGCTTCAAGCACCTCGATCTCAAAGGCCGCCTGCATGATGCCCTCATACAGCCAGGGGGGAAGGGGTGCGTCGCGCCCTCGTGAGGCAAACCAGTGCGTCAAGAGGCGCAGGGGCGACACGTGAGGTGCCTTCACATGAGCCAGATGCAGGCCCATGTACTCAGCCACCTGCAGACAAGCGCCATGAAACGAACACCACAACACCTTAGGCGTACGTCATCGCCGCCTCTTGCTAACAGTCAGTGCGCACCTTTCTGCGGATGGCGCTGCCGATGGCTTGGATATCGTCCCATTTGGCCTCCAAAATCCTGGCGCGCAGGCAGGTGAGCACCAGGCATCGCAGAGGGAGCTGACGGATCGTCAAGGTGGCTTGCACGTCCTCCACTTTGGTCTCCTTGCCCTGGAAGCTCGCTTTGTCCTTGAATGGCAGCCAGAACGTGAAGGCAGTCCTCTTGTTGCTGCCGAGCAGCCCCATGGCGAACAGCCGCATCGGCCGCCCAGTGGCGGGATCGACGTGGCTGTCGAAAGACCTGCTCGTTGTGCCCACGGCACGTCCGTCGATGGTCAGGTTGGCGGCGCACGAGAAGCAGCAGACACCTGAGTCCTCTGTGGAAGGTAGGTAGGCCACTCGAATGGCAAACGAGTTGACGGTTTTCCATTCGTAAGGTGACGTTCTCGAAGTCCTCGGGGGTTTCGGCAGCGCTGGGGTGGCCGCCGACCATGAAGTGCTCCCCAGTGAGCTGAGAGCCGGCCAGGGAGACGTCGAAGCCACGATCCCTGAACTCCTTCTGGTTAACCAGAGGCTGGCCGGGATGCTCAATGTCAGCGGTAAACTCCTCCCAGATGCACTCTGACTCGAACAAGACAGCAGCCTGCAAACACACACACATACCGATGGTTGCAAGTGCCTGCCTGCCTCGCTGTCTGTCGGCGCAGGGCACCGACCGCCTCAGTGAAGTTGCTGGTGCCCGTTGCCTCGATGAGAAACCGCTCAAGGCTTTCGAGCGGCACTCTGCATGTCCTGGCCTCTTATCATGACGGACAGGCGGCTCAGCAGGCGGGCAACCAACATCCGACGCACACCACCACCATCGGCCTGCTGTGGTGCCTCCCACACAGCCGCAACTTGATCGGCGTGCTCCAGAATGATGGGGGCAGAGGCACGCACCAGCTCGACAGTGTGGACACATATCAGCCTGAGGAGAACACCGCACCGCACACATCAGGTCAGGTGGGGTGGCCCGTATGCAGCGTTTGTGCGTGGGGGAATGAGTGTGGCGTACGCAATGAGAGGGCGCTCGAATGCTATCCTGACCATCTCCCGCCACAAGCTTTCATCCTCCTGCCAGCGGTTGCGAAGGATCTGGACAGACACCAGGAAGCGCAACAGGCAACCTGTGGTCGATGTGACCCCAGTCCCATGCGAATATGTGTGTGTGTCTTCTTCCTTCCACTCACCTTCTTGCTGATCGATTCGACGAGGGCATCCTGGTCTTTCGCCTCGAGGAAGTCCAGACCGATGAGACACTCCAGCAGATTCTGCCGAGTCATGTCCCGCAGCATGTGTGTCTTGGTCTGCAGCACCACGGCAGCCACCGGCCGAGAGATCTCCTTGATTCTCACTGTGCGGTTCGCGGACTCCTGGAAGTCGCCATCAAACAGCTGCAGGACCAAATAGAGTGACAGCAGATGCAATCAGGTGGTACCTGTCCCTCTGAATGGCATGAGTCAACAAAGCATTCTTTCCCTTACGGCTTGGAAGAAGCCATATTGCTGTGCGACGGTCTCCGATATGGCCAACGTGTCCTCACAGCCCTCAAAGGCGACGAGAATGGGCTGGTCCTCGGCCATCGCGCCGACACAGATGCTGTTGCAACAGACTATCAGATGTGGCTGAGAAGGCCTCCCATAGCCTTTGTTGTGACCCAACGATCCACTCGAAAGCTCGCATGCCGGTCGAAGAAGGTGCCGGTTGTAGAAATCCATCGCATCGTTGATGGACGCATCTCACACCGCCCTCGAGCTTTCAGTCGAGGTGCCGATTGACGGATCCGTGCTGTACGGAAGCCACGTGTCGGTCCTCGGCAACATCGAGGCCCTCGGCCGCTGGCAGCCACGATCTGCCATTCGCATGAGTGCAACAGCTGTCCCGGTGACCACTGCGGACGGCCAGACAGTCTGGGGTCATCGGTGGGCGTCGAAGCCGATACGTGTGGAGGTGGATGGAATGTCTGCGGCTGTTATCGAGTACAAATGTGTGGCTATTAGCGACACGACGGGCGAGGTTCTGCGGTGGGAGCCCATCGGCGACGGCAAGAACCGCCGGCTGCCCATCGAGCGCCTCCAAAGCAACTACATCATGACCATGCCCGACAGGTGGGGCACTTCAGCCACGCGCCCCACGTACAGACCTCTTGACGGTACGCAACCCAGGCGTCTAGCCACCCCACAAGGGAAGGGGCCACGAATGTGTGAGTGTGTGTGTGTGTGTGTGTGTGTGTGTGTGCAGAGCACACGACGGTCGCCGGGGGCTCGGCTGGCGTTGCGATGCCGACTGCTCAGCCGGAGGGGCGACAGGGCGACCTGATGGCTCGACAGCAGCAACTGGTACGTCTTATTTAAGGGCCTCACACGTGACACGGGCATCACGCACACGACATGACATGTGTCGGATATTTGTGGTCAGGAGAGTCAGTTTAGTGGTATTGTCGCACAGCTCCAACAACTACGTGTCGATCAGGTAAGCCTGACGCCACTCAGACAAGACCGCATTGATAAATGCATTCAGACAGACAGACAGACAGACAGACATCATTCCCCCTTGTCGTGTGCACCATGTGCCAGTGTGGTCAGATGATGTCTGACCTGGAGCAGAAGCACTCCGAGGTACGAAACATTGACCTTTTGATTCATTGGAAGGAGACCTGCCTGCCTGCCTCTCGCTCCGCTTGCCCTGTGGTTGTCCTTGCAGATAAGCTGCCTGATGTACCGCTTGTCCGCACTGGACACCTCAGATCTCTCATCGCACGTATGCCTGTCTGGACATCTGCACGATAAGGACGGGCTCACACGCTCTGCCGCTGTCCGATTGTGTCATTCATGGCTGCAGGATTGTTCGCTCCACATGATAGCTGCGTTGGATCAGTACGCCAAGTTGAAGGCCTCGCTCAAGGCCCTCGTCAAGGCGGCCACATTCCCTCAGCGACGCACTGCTGCATCGGTCAGTGAGCATACCAACCAATACAATTCCGAGGGGATGTGCTGTTTCCGTCTGTTATGGTCAGGCCAAGTTAGATGACCTCTCGGCCGACGCTATGGCTCGTCTGCAGGAGCCCCTCGACCTGCAGGGCGTCGGCTGCCTCAAGACGACTGCACCACTCGTCAACTATCACGTCAAGATGGCCCATCGTCGCCGGCTGGCCGTCGCCGTGGACAAGGCGGGTCTGACGGGTGTGGTGCGGTTTGCGCCTCAGCTGGGTGGCGGCGGCGTGATGAAGGCGCTGTGGCTGATGGAGGAGGGCGGCCGATGGGGAGAGGTGGGCAATGGACTGCGGGTGGCGGGTCAGTGTGGCTACTGCCAATTGCCCGTCACCATCGACGCTGTTGACCTGCAGAAGCACGACACCAAGACGGTAAGGGAGCACATCACCTCATACAGGGAGGGGGAGAACAGGGTGCATCCATCGTCGTGTGTTCCTGTGTGTCAGGCCTATTTGTCGACGCCCCGTGTGACAGCCCAGTGGATGATCATTGGTCGGCACGTGGCCTTCCGTCGTGCGAATGGCCAGCAGGACGGCACCTTCGAGCTCTTCCGTGACAACACCACCAACGAAATCCGAGCCATCCGCGACGAGCCTGAGTTCGCCATCACCCTCAACCCGCCACTGCCCACCAATGCCGTGCACCCCCTGCAGCAGCACCCCTTCCAGCAGCACATCAAGCACGACGACCCCCCCGTCCAGTGGCCCATCCGGTTCGACTTCTTTGACGGCGGCAGCTGGGCGGCAAACGCGGCTGGGCGGCAAACGCGGATGAGAGCACTTCTGCGTCGATGAGCTCCTTCATCGGGTGCATGATCATTCACCATTACTGCAGGAGCCGTGTCCAGGTCCACACCATGCTCATGGACATCGATCGGTAGGTTCCCTCCGGGGCACACATCGGACGTGGCAGTGGATCGCTGTCTGTCTGTTTGTGCGTGGATGTGTGTAGTGGCGTGAGGGGCGGCTATCTGGACGGCGTGCTGACGCGGTCGCCCCACACACCGCTGGAGGGATGTGCGGCCGTCACGACGACGGAAGCGGGCGATGGAGGTGCAGGTCAGACTCATCTGCTGACGGCCTTCGACGACCCCTTCATAGCGTGGGTCCAATTCTGGGTCAGACCTGACGACCGTCAGAATGGTGAGTGAGAGCTGCGAGTGCGGACAGACAGACAGACAGACAGGCAGACAGGCTCATTGTCTGTCCCTTCTCTCATGTGGCAGTGATTGTCTTGCTAGGGACGACTGAGCAGCCGGTGGGCAGTCCGGGCGATCCGTTCCCCGCCAGGCATCAGCGCACGGCCGCCCTGGCTCGTCGGTCGTTGGGCCCTGTCGCACCGGTATTGCTCGACGGACAGGCGCCGTAGAGGACAGACACAATGATAACACAACACGGTGAGGGCAGCCAGGACGATGCAAAAGAGGCCGCTGCACGCCCCTCATATGTCTGTCTCTCTCTCGTCTGTGTTGCAGTTGGTGGTGGTGGTGATATGGTCGCATCATTAGCTGAGTGTGTGCAGAGGGATGGCTTCATCCGTCCATTGGGATTATCCGTGCTTGCCTGTGAGTAGACTGGTCGGCAGCTGAAGGGGGCGATCACTCTGTGTGTTCATGCAATGATACGGCGTGAATATGTGAATCCACACACACTCACGTATGGCGACTGCACTGCACGCCCGAGTCGCTCGTCAATAAAACATATATGAACCCACACACGCCAGGCAATGCAAGTAGCTGGCCATACACTCACACACACCTCACACCGATAGATAAAGACGCCTCACGAACAAATCGACGTATCGACGTATGCCTTCCTGCCATCCATCCATCCATCCCCTGTGAGTGTGTCACCTCAGCCCAGCCACGAGCCTCATCCAGAGAGACGGGCGCCTCCTCTGCTGCCTCCGTGGTGGCAGCTGGGCCGCGGCTTGATCGATGCTGTGGGGGACAAGAGATTCGGCTTGTGATGATGACAGGAAGGGATGGGGAGGAGGGATGCTGTTCCCCTGCAGACAGACACGCAGCCAAGAGACAGATACAGCTGGCGGAATAAATGACAAACTCGCCTCTTACCATTTGGTCGAGTTTTCTCGTGTCCTTCAGCCCCGCACCGCCCCCCTCAGCCGACTCGCCCGTCAACAGCTGCGCACACAACACAACCCAATCAGCACCGACGTTGCTTTGGTGTCTCGCCTGTGTCTGTGTAGCTGCTTACGTCTTTGAATGCATCATCTGACGTCTCCTCGCCGAACCTCCTGGGTATCTTCTGGCCCTGAGCCGCTGCCGCACGGATCCTGATGATCTCGTTGGCCTTCTCGTGCAGTAACTGTGTGAATGCGTATATCAGTGTGTATCAGTGTCTCATGTGTGTGTGCGTGGTTTGGTGTATCTCCCTGTCACCTACCTGGTCCTGTGCCGTGGTTTCCTTTTGCAATGCGATGGCCCTGCTGATGGCAGACACCGTGGACTCGACAGACACACGAAAACCCTCGTCAAACCTGGTTTGGTTGACAGATCAGACGACCAAAGGAAGACATGGCATGGAGTCTTTGTCTCGTGTTGCTGACCTGTCCATTGCCTCTTGCACTGCCACGGCCTCCGTCTGATTGGCCCTCCTCCTGACGGGGTAGGGCGTCGCCCAGCCAGTGAGGTGACGCTCACGCAAGAGCTCACGCAGTCCCCTGTCGACCGATGGCACGGCGGCCTCAGCCATGGCAGTAAGCCATGACTTGCCTGGAGACAGCATACAAACAGCAGCCAACGAATGCATCCGTGGACAGGCCAGGCCGTAGGTGAGGTGGCTCTCCCTACCGCTTTCATGTGAATGTGCGATGGGTGTGGCCCCGTCCTGATCGAGATGCCGCCATGACGCGTCATCTGCCGACGCGGGGATGGATTGCACACGCAGGCCGGCCAGGAGAGAGCCGAGGGCCGCTCGTAGTGGTGACTGGAGGGTCCTCAGCTGCAGCAGATAGGCCTCGACCACCTCGTACAGGGCGCGCTGCACACATACAGCCACACGAGAACAGACAACTGTGTCCCTCTCCTCTCGCCCTTCAGTTCTCCATCACCATGTGTTTTCTCGGTGCAGCGAAGTCCACATGAAGGATGGCGGCGTGGGGCGCTGTCAGCAGCACAGGGCTCCCAAACACATGAAGAGGCAGCCTCGCGTCGTTTCTCCTCATGTGGCGTCTCGATAGCACCGACAAGAGTGACTCTGACGCGTGGGAGTGCCGTCTTGGTGGGGCCTTGTCTTCTTGAGCCTTTCCCAAGTGCCCCAATGCGTCGAGTGCCGACTGACGGGCGAGGAGGGCGTCGATCGATATGAGTTGGTTCAGGTCAGGGTGGCTGTCCAGACCGATGCTGGCCCTGATGACATCGCCGATCGCGGCCTCCAGTCCATCTCCTGACGAATCTGACGGGAGGAAACAAGGTGATTACAGCATATATGTTTCTCGTGCCTCTCTCTTCTCCGTCCCACCGAGTGTGGCCACGATGGACCCCACTGCGGCATCCCCAAGCACCATGGCAACCTCCCCGGCCACTGCATTGCAGGGCCGCCGGTTGCATGGCCGATATGCCACAGGCCGGCCGGAAGCTGGACACTCATAGTGGGGGAGCGCCTCCAGCTCGAGCGCGGTCCCAGTGTCTTCGCTTATCAGGATCATGGTGTCGTTCTTGCGGATGGTTCTCGAAGGGTCCCGGACACAACGCAGCTCGCGCACCTGAGCAAAGAAGGTGAGCTATAAGCTCTGTATCGTCTCTGTCTGTCTGTCTGTCTGTCTAAGTGACCGTGCAGGTACCGGACCTGTACGCCTTCCCCACAGACTTGTGAGCACTTCTGCCACATCCCGACAATCCACCGTGCACCATTAGGGTGGCCAGCACTTGCTGCACCACGCGATTGGTCACAGCCTTGCCTCCCGCAATAGCACTTGCCCTTCACACAGATGCCCCGCCACCCACACGCGCCTCCGCAATCCGACGTGATGTCCACAGACGGCTTCACCACCACCTCCACCCCCCGCACGACCGCCAATGTCCTTGTCGGCTGTTGCTGGTGGGTGGGAGAGGTCTCGCCCTTGTCACCGGACGGGAGGATGGTCGTCACTTCTGCCTTGCCCTTTGTGTCCACATGACTGGATGTGCCTCTGTCTCCAGCAGCAGATGCGCCCCCGAACAGCCTGCCAAGCCAGCCGCCGGGGTGATCGGATGTGCTGCTCTCTGTCTTGACAAATCGCGGCGCTTTAGTGAGGGGCGCCTCGGCGCGCTGTCTTGTCTTATCTCGCGACAGGACAGCCATTGCGATTGCCAGTCCCATGCCACCACCTGTGGGCAGCAAACCCGCTCTTCTCGACGACATTCGGAGGTGCCGCAGAGCCCGGCCGACCATCAGCAGCATGGCTCGCCCCCGTCTCCTCAGTGCCGGCAGGAGGGCCTTCATTGCGTGAGGTGGCGGGGCTGTGGCAGGGTGGAAGCCGATAAATGAAGGTGCAGGGGAAAGGTAGGCCGTCAGGTTGCCGACGACACCCTCGATCCACTGCACGATGCTTCGCGTTAGATCCAGGGTGGAAAGCTCACTGGCTGAGAGGGGGGCGATGAGAGATTGCTCTCTGTTGCCGGGGTCATCATCGTGCTGCTGTCTTGCGCCAAGCTGGTCGTCGTATTCGGCCACGAGTGTGAGGCAGTAGCTGCGGGTTGGCTCGAGGCCCTCGATAGTCAGATACGGGCGGCGGGCCGCGTTGAGACTCGTCACGTCCTTGTCCAACACTGCACGAGACGAACACACAGGATCATTCCTTTGCGTCTTACGTACGTGTTACTGTATATATTGTCTTACCGATAGTGCCCTCCTCCTTATCATCTTGTGTGACCACCAGTGAGAGGCGACTGAGGTCCCGCAGCAGTGGCACCCACCGCACCCACAGCGAGCCCCTCACGCGACCCACCAAGGGTGTCGGAGGCGGCTCATACTCGGGCTGTCCGTCCCCCCTCACCCGCACCGCCATGCTCTTGCAGGTCTGCTCGTTGCATGGCTTTGTCTGCGACTGTTCGGCATCGCCACACGCGCCTTCCCGCCCCTCCCGCACCACCATTCGTCGTCTTGTTTGTGTGCCGCCGTCACAGGACTTGCTGCAAGTCGACCATTCAGACCAGCTTGACAGCAGACACACGCCCTGCTCGTGTGCCTCCCACAGCCGGCGGCACATCTGCCCCACATCGACCAGAGGCCCGTGATAGGCCGGCTGGTCAGCAGATGTGGCACCAGTGGCATTGTGGATGCGATAGCGCCTCAGAAATGATGAAAGATGGGTGTCGTTGACGCGTCTCGTGTCGATGATATGGGTGTGTGGCGAAGGGGAAGGTGTTGCCGACGGCTGAGGGGCAAAGATGTCCTGGCACGCGTCGAAGGCCTGGCTGAGAGGGGGGATGAAGCAGAGAGTGCGGAGTGGCACGTCAGCATCGAGTTGCTGCTGCAGGTCCGTGGCACATGTCTGCAGCCAATGGTCCTTCTCCTCGGGACCTGCAGGCAGGCAGGCAGGCAGGCAGAGACATGACGCAGAGGAAGGTAATGTACCTGCCGCCGTGAGGAGGGTGGCGCATATTGCGGGAGCTCGCTGATCGTTCTCAGTGTCGTTTGCGGTCGATCGGCTGATGATGTGGTGGATGGCAATGCCCAGTTGGTCGCAGAAAGGCGGGGCTTCATACTCCTGAACAAATCCCCAACGAGGCGGTGTGTGTAGACGTGTGCTCTCAGGGCACTCACCTCGATGCAGTAGCCCTTGATCTGCTGCAGTGCTGTATTTGCAACGTCTGTCGGCGTCTGTGTGAGCAGATGATGCACGTCGGCGGAACACTGCAGCATGTCGCTGGAGACGTCCTCGCCCAACGAACACAGCTGCTGCGGGTCACTCAAACCATCCAACGCCGCAGACCTGACACACATACACACAGACAGACAGACAGAGAGAAGAGAACAGAACATGCAGCAAAGGCACCACCTGCAGCCATCCTCATGACTGACTTACCTGACGGCGTCGCATTTCTTGGCCGCTGCCTGAGTTATCGCCCCCTCCATGCAGTCATCATACAGCAGCTGAGCCCTCTTCTCGCCATCCCCTCCGGCTGGCTTGAGCAGCGACGTCGCGCGTGCGACACATGTGTCGAAGGCGAATGCGTTGGGATGGAGAGTCACTGCCAGAGGGCCACAGACGAGGGATGGATGGGGATGGTCCTGTGCTGAGCTCAGTGTCTCCTCGACAGCCTGCTTGAGTGGGGCACAAGCGAGGGCCTCTCCCGTGTTGCGTGCCGATGAGTCGCTGTCTTGTCCTGTGCACGCGCGGTATACCGTGTCAGCAAATGCATCAGCTGAAGACGCATTCGCACCAGCCATAGAGCTAATCACGTCCTGACACACCTGAAGGAAGACACGGACAGACAGATGGAGCATTTAAATGACTGACAATCGCACTCAAAGACCAATGAATGGCTTTTTTTGCACCTGGTTAGCGTCCGATCCATGAACACCACTGTGTCCGTGGTCCAATCTCTTTCTCGGCGCGAAGCTGCGCCAGCTTGGCGAGAAGAGTCCACACAGGTTGGCCTCCGTCACGTGCCCACGGTCGACCAGATGCGACACTTCGGCCATGAACACGTCACATCTGGCTGTACCCGGCCACTTCTCGGCCACTCGCTGACACGCCTTCCTCGCCACGCCCTCCAGCTCCTCGCTGCCGAGTAGAGGCCTTTCCATGTGCTCGTCTGTGCCGGTAGAGCCGCCTTGTGGATTGATGACAACGCTGTGGGGGGAGACGTCACTTGTCTGCTGAGCAGAGAAAAGGAGGCTGGCTCGGGCGGTCGGCCCCGGGGCATTCTTGGCGTTGACCTTGTCGAGCTGCAGGGCGGCGAGAAGCTCCACACAAATGCTGAGGGGCGTGTTCGTGGCCAGGATGGGGAGACCATGACCGTCAGGCTGGTTGCTGTCGGAACCTGCCGGCCTGGAGGTATTTGCCTTGGCCGCTGCCGAGAGGGAGCTGCCGATATGACTATCTTCCGTCTTGTTGCCGTCCCTCAGACCCTCGGTATCTTGCCCTCCTGCGCGCCGAGTGTACAAGGGTGCCACCAGAGAGCACAGCACGCCAGGATGGATACCTTCCTCGACCAGAGACGAAACAGCAGTGCCGAAAGCCATACAGCCGACACCATCCGTCGAGACATCCTTGGCCGCGCGGAGCGGCTGTGGCCGACTTCTGCGCCAAGGAAGGTGGTCGAACATCGAGCTGAATGGGTTGCGGCTGCCTGACCGCTGGAAAAAGGCAGTAGGGGCGTGTTGCGCATGGGAAGGGCATGTCTGCTGGCAGAGGGAGACGAAATATGCGGGTGCGTTGGTGTGGGATAGGGGGGAGGGAAGAGCATCGTGGCTAGTCGTGTTGGCCGCTACTGGGATGATCAGCTGCCCTTGCTCCAGCCCCTGCAAAAGAGCAATCAATCAAGCATAGTGACATGTATGTGTCTTTGATTTCTTTCCTTCTCGGCTTGACTTACCCTCACGCACTTGTCCCTGCCGTGCTGCCACAGATAATCAGAGTTCCCTCCGTATCTCTCCAACTCGTGCTGGAAAAGACCGACGGCATCCCTCAGCTCAGCTGACATGCCCATCACACCGAGGCCTCTATCCCCGCTCCTCAGCTGTATGAGCCCCTCGAATGCGCCAAGGAAATCGGTTGATAGAGACGAACGGTTGCTGGGTGGTCTTGGGGCTCCCAGGATGTGATCCAGGTCCATGTACAGGGGCGAGAGGACCGAACACAGCTGGGAGGGGGGCAGTCCGGCCGACACGAGAGATGCCAGGTAGCGCCCAACGACCAAACACGATGAGTGCAAACCCTCATCGGCGGGCTGCTGCTGGAGCAACGTTGTCGGAGCAGACACGCACAGGTTGCCGAAGTGGTCCCTGACGGAAGACGCTGAGAGAGGGAGGGCGACCGACGCTGCACCCTCCGTCCTCAGAAGGCCTTCCCGCAGTAGATCCTGTAGACAGTGCTTCTCGGCCAGCTTCCTCTGGTCAGTGTTTGCATCCATCCACAGCAGCTGTGGATTGAACAGATGGCGCATCGTCGCCTCCACAATGGCGCCGGGCGAAGGGGGCGCCGCAGCTGGCCGTGCGGCAACGATGCGCTGCAATGGGCATCGTGCGAGGGGGAGAAGGCACCCAAGAAGCGCCAAGACCAGCATCGCATCGTTTACATCGCACAAGTTGCAAGCTTAGCCAATGAATTGGATCGAACCCATGAATCTCATGAATCCCCTACACACATTAATACATGAATCGCTCAGAACTCGATGGCCGAATGCCTCTTGCGCGACTTGTCACTCGAAACAACTCCGGTCCTTGTCCTCGCAATGCCCATCTTCCCCCGGGGCTCCTTGGCTTGCGTCATGCCCTTGAGTCTCGAGACATGGTGTCCCATGGCTGCTGGGCCCATCGTCGCACGCTTCTGGATCATCCCATTAGGCGCCGTGACATCCTCCGTCTCGTCCGCTTGTGGCTTGTGAGATTCGATATATTTATCTAACTCCTCCTGAGACAGCTTCAGCCTCTTCTCGTCCAGCAATCTTCTTGCCAATTCCATGTCCTTTGCCACTATGCTAGCTGCAGCTTGGATGACGGCAAAAGGCGGCATTTCCTCCTCGACTGGTTCCACAGGATCACTGTCCTTCTCTTCTGGTGGCACAACAGCCACTGGCGGAGGCTCAGGCGGATCCAAGAAGTCCCCCGCCTTGTCTACAGTCATGTCGGCTAGGGGATCCTCTTCTTCATCATCGTCGTCGTAGCCGATGGGCTCATCGGATGGCTGTGGCAGAGCCAGTGTCATGTCTTCTGATTCATCCGCTGGACTGGCATGCGCTCGCCTAGCGGTGTCTCTCTTGACTGAAGTCGCCCTTGGGGAATCGCGTGGAGTCGACTTGTCGCGCGGCATGTTCATGAACTGGGTGGGCGATGGAATCTTCGGCAGCTGCGTCCAGTGGACCTTTAGAGGGGAGTCTGCCTGTGAGCGAAAGCGAGGCGAGCTGGCGTTGAAGGCCTTGTCGTGGTCCAGGCGCTTGCTTCCCCTCTTCTTCCTTTCGTCACTTCTTGCTGTAGCCGGCGTCATCGGGTGATAGGCCGCCAGCACAGTAGTGGACGGAGTGCTGCTTTTGAACGTGCTCCTGGTTGTGTATGAGGGCCGTCTCGGCGGTGGCAAGAGGGCGAAATCGGGCAAGTAGTCAGCCAGCTGGACCGTCCCTGAGCCCCTGCTCGACGGCTGCTGGAGAAGTGACGTGGGGCTTCTCGCAGCGCCATGTGGTGGAGTGTTGACCTGGGCATATCCGGGTCCTCGTTGTATCCAAGAAACCGGCTCTTCGGTCAACCCGTGTATGGGCGAGTGAACAAGGACGCGGGCATCGTAGTGTCGGACATGCAGCAATGTCGAGGGTGACAGCGGCCGCATCTCTCGTCTGAATAGCCGCCGCGATGACACAGAGCGCCCTGCCCTGGTTTTCTGTCTTGTCGTCTCTCCCTCTCTAATGTCAGCCGCTGGTGGTGGAGTGGCATCAGTTGCCTCCTCTTGGTGCTCATAATCGTGCTCGGTGTGGCCAAGAGGCGGTGGATCGTGTTCAAGGTCTCGAAAGGTGACGAAGTGCCATGACGCCGACAGCTCCTGTTTAGGGATGGCCAGCTCTCCTTTGTCCACCATTCTGAGCCGGGCGTCGTAGCAATCACCTGCCCGAAAACGTGTGTAGAAGGGCTCTAATCCACCAGCCAGCATTAGACAGAGGATAATTAAGAAGCCGTGTCTGATGTTTCTGTGTGTACTGAGTGGGTGATTGACCTTTGAGAGACTTGGGCCGTTCGGTGCTGAAGCGGTCATATGGATAAGGCACCTGACCGGCCGGCAGCTTCTGCTGCGACAGATCCACCCTGCACCAAGCACAAGCACAAGCAGAGCGCCATATGTGTCAGGGGAAGGCCCATAATCTCGGTCACCTTTCGGGAAGCAAATCAGGGGAAACTCCACCATGTTTTTCCGCTTCGTGCCTCCCTGTCGCTTCCTCGCACACAGATGCATGCTGGGAGGCTCGGCCTTTGGGCAGTTCGTTGCTTCCCACAGCTGGGGGAGGTTGAGCCTCTTCAAGCTCAGGTTGAACCTCTGGCCTCTGTTCATTCTCTTCCACGGCACTCTCCGTCCGCACGGGCTCCTCGCCCGTCGCCTCTCCGCTGCTCTCGTCCTGCCAGTCACCGTTCTCCTCCTGCTGAACCCATTCTTCATCCTCTCCGCTCCCATCGTCATTCTTTGTGGCCGCCCCTGTCAGGTGGGCCTCTGCAACACCGATGGCCTCCTCAACCACCACCTTGGAAAGCTCCGTTATCGCAGGATCTCGGATGTCCTCCATGGGTTTTGCATGCACTTCAGTGGGCCGTCCCCAGGGGGATCCTCCGTCTCAGGATCGCGAGAGTGCTACGGATTGCTTCGCTCACACTGTTTGACCACACGTACAGCAGCTGAAGAGAAGGTCTTGGAGATTCGCTTTCACAGAAGCATCACGACACCCGCAGGAGTGGGAAGGGAGACCCACCATCGCTCCTGTTGTCTCGTCTCTCTCCGTGTGTCTGTCTGTGTGTGGTATGCATGGGCGACCAGCACATCTGATCTAGAGGCGGCAATGATTAGTATGTAGGCAGTGGCAAAGGCACAGGCAGGCAATCACGGAAACACAAGCGCAGAGAAGGTCTTGCCTGCATTATGCACACATTCGTATAATGCACGCACTGCACTCATGGACAGCCAGCCTACAACCGTCGCCCTTCAGTGCATCCGCCAGCGAACCTGGGTCGGTGACACACGAGGATGTCGTGTGGCATCAAGTCCGATACCCTGGGTGACGTACTGCATTGCGACGATCGATCGACACATCACATCACACATCGTCCGCAACCACAGATCAATGCCTCCTGCCAAATCCACCGCTGATGCGCTGCCTGGTCGGTGATGAAACCCATGACAGCCAGTCCCCAGGCTGTCTTGTTCTTCACCGCTGACCAGGCACTGCACCAACAGCGACTCAGCAACGCAACGACACACAGCAGAAGGATGCAAACTCATCTGAAGAGCTAGCACCGTCCACATAAATGCACCCAGGCCCCGCGAACGTCGCATGGATGAGGCTGCACCGCACTTTCACCCAGATGGAAAAAACGGCGGCACGGCAACACACCAGCAGCCAGCGCGACATGCATGCCCTCCCTTCCCGATGCATAACATGCTTGAACGACCGCGTCACACTCGCATTGGAAAAAGAGTGGCACACGACGACAGACAGAAACACAACGAGGCAGTCACTTCTCCGTCTCTAGCCCCCCACAGACGTACACACGTGCAGGGAAGGAGCAAGTCGGCGAGATGACAAAGGTACCACGCATAGCATAAGTACCCAGACAGACAGAGTAGCGATTCGAGTGTGTCGGCTGGCTGGCTGGCTGGCTGGCTGATCAGTGGTGGAAGAGCCTGAGGTCCGTCATGGCCATGAGCATGCCGTACTCGTTGGCCGCCTTGGTCACCTCAGGGTCCTGCACACTCCCGCCTGCATACATACGTGACAGACAACATTTCCACACACACAAGGCGGTGAATGCACTCTTGATGAATGCATGGCTCGGTGTGCATCTGTGTATGTATGTCTGTGTACCTGGGTTGACGATGTACTCGACGCCATACTTGGACGCATGGTCGATGTTGTCCCTGACACACACGCACACACACACACACGCACACACAGTGTCGGTGTGATCGATGGCTGCAAGGATGTGTGTGATATGTGCCACAGACCCACCTGAAGGGGAAGAAGGCGTCAGACGAGATGGACACGCCCTTGAGCGTCTTGAGGAAATCCTTCTTCTCAGCCTCGGTCAGCGGCTCGGGCACCTGACACACACAACACACAACACAGGACGACACGACAGGTCATACATGCCAATATCCCGCCGCCTGACGCACCAGGCCAGGCCAGGCAGCCCACCTGTTCGAATTTGTCGTCAAACTCTTTCTTTTCGATGTCAGTGAAATCGCCCTCGATGTACCTCACTCGGCCGTTGACGCGGTCCTGCCGCTTGATGCCCTCCTTGAACTTCAATCCCATCACCTTCGGGTGCTGACGAAGATACCTACACAAGACAACACACACAGCAGATACAACACATGAATGCACTGGCCTATGTGTTTGTGTTTGTGTTTGTGTGTGTGAGGGGGGGGGGGGG